GAACCTGCCACCTTAGGTGTACGTGGCTGGCGCCTTAGCCGGTTGAGCTATAGGCGCCGAGCTGCTTTTTTTTTTTTAATCAACAAAATGTAAGTGTGCCATGAAGTGTAAGTATAGGTTCAAGCATGCTACAAGATAAAAAAAAAAAATTTGAAAAACACTGCTGTGTACAGTATACACAGTGCTAAAATAAAAACTTGAAAATCTTTTGTAAAAGCTAAGAGAGAAGGTCCAAAACTCTGGCTAATTGTTTGTAAGACTTCAAGAAATCAGGAGTACTAAGACTGTTAGAGTCAATTTATATAGGCGATATGGGAGTGGCTGGAGAAGAAAAAGGATAAGCAAAGCATATACTGAGGGGCGGAGAGAGGGGGCACCCCTGGAGTCCTGTGCAGAGTGTACACCCCCTGGGGCTTCCTGTTACCTGTTCATAGTTTATCAACATGGCCGTCTCAAAACTGTTGGCTGCCCACTTGAGGAGGTTTGCAGACTGCTCCGGAGTCATGTAAACCAGCACACATTCAGTTATCAGGAGTGTTGGCAATCTAAGAGAAAACAAAAGCAAAGAAGTACGTACTTCATCCAGTCAAAACCCTGTAATTGTACCTAGGTTGCAGTCCTGGCAGAGCAACTTATCCCCCAGGAAACTCAGAAACAAGCCCAGCATGGATCAGTGCAGTAGTACACATACAAGGCCATCACTGCTCAAAGGTGTACAGTGTGAAAAGGTGAGCAGTGATTTATCCGGCTTCTGAAAATGTGTCAAATGTGTGTGGCTGGTGGCAGATATGGCTACAAATTCTCCCCTACTGGGCATTCACATCAAGCCAATGCACCGTTAACGTCTCTCACGTAAGAAGGGGAGTTTATTTTCCAACTCCTGAAATCTGAGTTAGTCATGTGACTTGATTTGGGCAACAAGGCAATAGCAAATATGATGCAAGCAGAAGCCGGGAAACCACTTTGCACACAGCACTTGCTTTCTTGTTGCACTCGCAAACCTGAAACCACTCCCTGAAGCTAGCCTGCTATCAGATAAGAAGCCCTGTAGAGGGGAATGAGGCATCACGGCTGACAGTCCCCAGCTGGCCTGCCCACTGTCCCCACACGAGTGAACCCCCAGGGATGTCAGCTAAACCTTGTTCCCAACAGAACCATCCAGCTAACCCCAGCCCAAACTGCCAACACAGAGAATCCTGAGCAACTACGTTGAGAGTTTTTAAAAATCATCTAGAAATACTTATATTCATTTAGTAGATTCTAATTCTTATACAGGCTTTCATTATTAATGATTGCAAACAACATGAATGAGCTTTGAGAAATTACATTATTCATCTGCACTCTGATTTACCAGACCCAAAGTAATCAACAAATAAGACACAGAAAAGCAATAAATGCCATAAGTATCTAAGTTTAATTTTTAAATGGGAGTACTGGTGGCCCATAAATTATGCAAGTAAACAGGATACACTTTATGAGCACTCTCCGTTTTGACTTCCTTAGGCCCAAAATGCAAGGGGAGGGGTAGTTTGCTTGGCCATTCTGGGGTAGGGTCAGTGCTGACAGAACTGGGGGAGCCTGCAGAAACTCTTTGCCTCCGTCTCTAGAACTCTTCTCTGTTGGCTTTTCCTGGTTTATTTAGTGCTGCTTCTCAGACTCCTTCCCTGGGCTTCTTCCCCTCCTTACCCCCTAAATATTGACAGTGCTCATTGCTACCCCCCCCCCCAAGAAAGTGGGTTATTTCTACTTGTCTATTTTTACTGATGGGAGGTTTTAGAAACATTAAGTTGTATAAAATCAAAAGCCCAAAAAGAAACGGATTAAAAAGAATATGATGCATCCACCCAGTGGACCACTACACAGCTTGACGCTTCAGAATTGTACTTACTGACATGAAAGGCACACACGGTCCCCAGTGTCACATGTTCCATTATATGCTTTCTAACCCTTCTTCAGAGCAGGTGTTACAAGAATAATTAAATAGTCCTATGTAATTAGCTGTTTAATGTCTCTCTCACACAATAATGTATTGTTTACATCTCTGGAGTATCTATAACTTGTAGATACTCACTAATTGGCCAAAGAAGTCAATAAGTAAATTAGTGGCCACATACATATGTATAAGTACACAAACACACAAATTTGATTCTTTTAAAAGTTCTAAAACTGCATGCATGGCATGATCACACTTTAAAGAAAACATATATTTACACAGGCATAAAAATTTATGGTGGTCATGCCTGAATACTGGGATTAGGAATTATTCTTATGTTCTAGGAACCATCAGAATCAGTGAGAGCTACAATTATAGAAAGGAATAGCACTTCACAGAGCTACTTTCTAATGTTAACTGCTAACATTTATTGTTGGATTCTATTATTCTCATTTGTCTAAGGAAGAAACTAAGGCAGAAGTAAAGATATCCAAGGTCATGGTCTCATGCATGTTCCTGTCAGAATTCAAACCTGTGCAGCTGGACTTAGCACACAGACTCATAATTATGGTGTCTTAAGAGAGAAACAGCTCCCCTAAAGTACACACTAGCTTTGACCTGATAGTATCAACTATCCACCTGCTTTCCACAGCTGGATTTTACTTAAACAATAAAATGTTATACTATAACTCAAGTTATTTAAAAGTATTTATCCAGAAGCCATACACAGTGAGTGGCCCATGCCTATAATCCCAGCATTCTGGGAGGCTGAGGCAGGAGGATCATTTCAGGTGAGAAGTTCACAAGCAGCCCAGGCAACATAACAAAAAAATTTTAAATTAGCTTGGCATTTTCACATGCACCTGTGGTTTAATCTACTCAGGAGGCTGAGATGGGAAGGAAGAGTGGCTTGAGCCCCGTTTGATGTTCTAGTGACCTATGATTGTGCCCCTATACACAGCCTGAGCAACAAAGCAAGATCCTGTCTCTGGGGTAAAAAAAACAACAAAACACACACACACACACATATATTATACACCCCTCTCCCAAATGCTCCTAGGAGTACCATTAAACAGACATTTTAAACATTACGTGGCTCCAAATGAATCATGATACAAAGAAACAGACCACTAAATCAAGAATAAAGAGAAGTCTGAGTTGCACACACAGCAAAAATCAGAAAGAAAAATATTGAAGAGAACATTTCTTTTTTCTCACTTTCACCCTTGGTAGAGAGCCTTGGCTTCATAGCTCACAGCAACCTCAAACTCTTGGGCTCAAGCAATTCTCTTGTCTCAGACTCAGAAGCAGTTGGGACTATAGGCACCCACCACAATGCCCGGCTATTTTTACAGACAGGTCTCACTCTTGCTCAGACTGGTCTCAAATCCATGAGCTCAGGCAATCCACCTGCTGCGGCCTCCCAAAGTGCTAGGATTACAGGCATGAACCACTGCACCAGGCCTAAAGAGAACATTTCTTAAACAATAATCTCAATCTAAAACCCCACATTACTAGAAAAATTTAGAAGTGGACAAGTAAAAAAAATGTTATAAAACCTCATCTAATAAGTTGACAACTAGAGAAACAACACTATCAAGAATCTGTTTAATGCAAAGGTAATCATTACAGTGTCGGATATTAACATATGGGGATGTTAGGTGAAGACATGATATCAGAAAAGTTTTTGTGCTTTTTGATAAATCTGAATTATTTGAAAATGAGAAGTTCTTAGTACATTTTTAAAAGGTAGCCTAACCATTAGCATTAAAAATAGGATTAACATTTTTCAAAACATTAATGAAAGCACAGAAGAGAAAACAGAACACAACTGAAAACACATAAAAGAATTTGATGGGTAATTCTAGTACTTGGTATATCCACTGTTTTCTTCTATTTTATAAATTTCTAAGACTGAGGGGAAGCTCATTCCCCTCCCCATTTAAAGCTAGTCTCCTACATAAGTGATTTCCCTGGCCTTTCAACTCATTTGGTGAACTAGCTCGTTACTGTAACCATAGTTTCAGATGTGACTTACAGAGAGTGTATGTACAGTCATCCATTTCTGGTCTACTGATCTGTGGTTACTTCATATAATCTCCAAAGTGATCTAGTGAGGAAGTTGTTTTTTGGTGGGGTTTTTTTGCGACAGAGTCTCATTATGTTGCCCTCAGTAGAGTGCTGTGGCATCATAGCTCACAGCAATCTCCAACTCTTTGGCTTAAGCAATTCTCTTGCCTCAGCCTCCCAAGTAGCTGGGACTATAGGTACCCACCACAATGCCCAGCTATTTTTGTTGTTGCTGTTGTGGCAGTTGTCATTATTGTTTAGCAGGCCTGGGCCAGGTTCAAACCCGCCAACCTAGGTATATGTGGCCAGTGTCCTACCCACTGAGCTACGGGAGCCGTCTAGTGAGGTAGTTTTTATCCCAGTTCATAAATGAGGAAACAAAGGCTCAAAGACAGTTAAAGGAAAATACTGCCCCACTAAACAACTAGAAAAGTCAAATTCAGGATGAATTTCCAAGATTCATGCTCTCCAATATAAGGAGGGCTTACCCTTGAAAACAAGTTTTTTTCTTCTTTTTTTTTTGCAGTTTTTGGCCGGGTCTGGGTTTGAACCCGCCACCTCCAGCATACGGGACCAGCACCCTACTCCTTTGAGCCACAGGTGCCACCCTTGAAAACAAGTTTTAACCAAATTACTACTCATCTTCACTCACAAACATGCTGAAAAATACCTGGCCCAAGGAAACCAACAGTGTCACTAACAGCAAGATTTCCCTTCCAATATAAGAAAAATAAGCTATACCCTACAATCTGTGAACCATGTTAAGAGGTTCCCCAAAGGACAAATGAGGCATAAATACTGTTTACAATTTATTGACCTTGTTCTCTCAACATTCAGAGAGACAAAGACTCAGAACATAAAGGTAGAGTGACAACCTTAGGCCATTTAGAACATCCCAAACATTGGGCAGGTGGGTATGTAAGTTCAAACAACAATCTGGCTGATGATTCTAGGCTAAACAGGTAAATAAGAACTTTAACACACAGAGCCAACAGCATTCACCAAATTAATGAAAGATGAGTTATGAAGATCATCACACCTTAACTCCCTACTCCTCTACCCTCTCCCTCCCAGGGCTCACCTATAGTTTCATCTGTCCTTACCCTCCCCACTGAGAAGGTTGGGGGGGGGGTCTTCTGTCCACTCCAAGGCTAGTTCACCTCTGTCCAAGCTCCATATCCACCTGGCTCTCTCCTTGGAGATCCTATTCCAGCAATAATTTCCCCAGTTGCTCATTTCTTCAATCTTTCACCATTGATTCTTTGCCTTCAATTTATTCTTTAAAATAATACAGAGGGGGTGGAGGAGGAAGAGCAAGATGGCAGACCAGAAGATCTCTCAGCTGAGCTCTCCTAAAACAACTGGGGAAAGAGAGAATGCAGCCATGCCTAGAGTAGGGACCTTACCCAGAGTCATAGTTCAGTGAGGAGGTGGTGAGCTGGATATAGCGTATAATCCAGAGCAGTGGAAATCTGATGAATTAGACAAGTGATTGCCACCAGCTGGGATTAGCTGCACCCACCACAGAGGTCAGGGACCAGA